GCCTTCAAGAGAGAGCTGGACAGATACCTAAAGTCAGTGCCGGAACAGCCGGACTGTGGCTCGTACGTTGGACTGCGTGCGGCCAGCAGTAACAGCCTAGTTGATCAGGCCCTGATCCATCGGGAGGCCTGGTCATGGACCGGGCCGCGGGGGCGTTGATCCCCGGAATAACCTCCAGGTAACTGTTATTTGCCCCGTTTACGTAGTACTGATTGCTGGAGGTTATAAGATAGCACCACAAAGAGGATATTCAAGAAGTGGGGGGGGGGGTATTTTATATTTATAGGAAGCCCTAAATTCGTAGGGGTTCATACAGAAAAGCAGAGAATGGGAAGTAACAAGTCATGTTTGATCTTGCAAAAATCATGACATGCCGGGATCAACCAGGCTGTGATGTATAGGCGAACCACCAGCAGCAACAGCATGGTTAAGAAGAGTTTAGGGTACCTAGGCTGGGCTACGGAAGTAGAAAAAAACGAAACAGGTCACAGGCAAATTACAGACATCAACGTAAGTATCCCCAAGCATCAGTAGTGCTCAGTGTTGAAGGTTGTCACTTGTCAGTAACATTGCTGTGATGTCATAAGATGTCTCTGCTTACTCAGGGATTCAGACTTGGGTATCGTGTGACCTCACACTACGAATCCTGACACACACTCATGAATTTTAATCAAAATCTAGTATATATGCCTTCCTTTGTCACTGCATTAAATGTTGCATATCGCCGTAGCGTTCACTGCGAATATGTATGATCTTAACTTGCTGATATTTACAGATAAAACTAGTTTTATAAATCTTGTTTCACCTCGGTGACACAAGAGTTGTATGCAGTGTTAACGTGACTTTTATATCATCTACTGTTAATGCAGTCCATCACTCTTAAAAAGACAGTATTTCACTGTTGCAGCGAGTCAAGTGAGTGACTAGTTAAAAAAAAAAAAAGTCTCCAACAGTGATTATCTGGCATTGTTCTGGTGCACACTGTGCCTCTCAAGTTTTCTATTAGCGCGTCAGAACTTTGATCGCGTTTATATTTCATTTATTGTCATGGTGATGTTATAATTTAAATAACGTAAATCCAGACGATATTAAGAAAAAAGTCATGAAGAAACATTAGGACATTTGTCAGAAAACGTTTCGACCCTTAGGGCCTTCATCACTTCTAACAAAGAAACGTCGAGAATAACTATAAATATGCTATAAGTGACATGTAGTGGCCTGGTGGAGATTTAATTGACGCCATCTCAAAAAACCACACTTGCATTATCATCAGGTCACTACATGTCACTCACACCTCACCTCCAGCATATATAAAATGTTATTCTCGACTTTCAGATGTTGAGTGATCAAGGTGCCAACACAGACTTTTTCTAATAGTTATATCCTCGTGTTTGATGGTGTCTTTTTTTCGTTTTTTAATAATTTTGTCGGTATCAGTTACCAAGGTTTATAACATATTGTCGGATGATATTCCCTTCAAGTATCAGAATATCAGGTTGGTATTCCTGAGGGTCTAACGTAGGTTGGTAGTCCTGAAGGTATAATGTAGGTTGGTTTTTCTGAGGTTTACTGTAGGTTGGTATTACTGATGGTCCACTGTAGCTTGTAGGTTGGTATTCCTGAGGTTCTAGTGTAGCCTGAATGTCTAGTGTAGGTTGATATGCCTAAAGGTTTAGTGTAGGTTGATATTCCTGAATGTCTAGTGTAGGTTGATATTCCTGAAGGTCTAGTGTAGGTTGATATTCCTGAAGGTCTAGTGTAGGTTGGTATTCCTGAATGTCTAGCATAGGTTGGTATTCCTAAGGGTTTAGTGTAGGTTGGTACTCCTGAATGTCTAGTGTAGGTTGGTATTCCTGAATGTCAAGTGTAGGTTGGTATTCCCGAATGTCTAGTGTAGGTTGGTATTCCTGAAGGTCTAGTGTAGGTTGGTATTCCTGAATGTCAAGTGTAGGTTGGTATTCCTGAATGTCTAGTGTAGGTTGGTATTCCTGAAGGTCTAGTGTAGGTTGGTATTCCTGAGATTAGTGTAGTTTGAGGATAATGTTGCTGGGGTTCGAGTAGTATGCTTCGTACTGTGGATATTTCCAGGACTGAGGAGTGTCACTGGGCCATGATCATGCAAGTCGTCAGCATACTGATGCAGTGTTTTATATTTTAAGGAATATTCTAATTTTATATACATTATTGACTACACTTCAAACATCCTTCGTAATATTGTTAAATGTATGAAAAGATACTCTTGTACAGTGTTATGTAACAATTAAGGAAATGTTTTGCCAGCCTTTTACCCCCACCCCTTCCCCTCTTATACACAACACACACACCAGGAAGAGTTGGGGCCAGAAGCGGTGACTCAACCCCTGCAACCACAAATAGGCGAGTACACACACAGTTATAAAGAAATGGGGAGAGAGCCGAAACTTTGACTACTACAAACAACTCAGCTAGCACACCCGCGCGCACGCACGCACACACACACACACACACACACACACACACACACACACACACACACACACACACACACACACACACACACACACACACACACACACGACATGACATGACAGAAGGAATAGACTCTGAGGTGTCCCTGTTTGCAGATGACGTGAAGTTGATGAGAAGAATTCACTCGATCGAAGACCAGGCAAAACTACAAAGGGATCTGGACAGGCTGCAGACCTGGTCCAGCAATTGGCTCCTGGAGTTCAATCCCACCAAGTGCAAAGTCATGAAGATTGGGGAAGGGCAAAGAAGACCACAGACGGAGTACAGTCTAGGGGGCCAGAGACTACAAACCTCACTCAAGGAAAAAGATCTTGGGGTGAGTATAACACCAGGCACATCTCCTGAAGCGCACATCAACCAAATAACTGCTGCAGCATATGGGCGCCTAGCAAACCTCAGAACAGCATTCCGACATCTTAATAAGAAATCGTTCAGGACCCTGTACACCGTGTACGTTAGGCCCATATTGGAGTATGCGGCACCAGTTTGGAACCCACACCTAGCCAAGCACGTAAAGAAACTAGAGAAAGTGCAAAGGTTTGCAACAAGACTAGTCCCAGAGCTAAGAGGTATGTCCTACGAGGAGAGGTTAAGGGAAATCAACCTGACGACACTGGAGGACAGGAGAGATAGGGGGGACATGATAACGACATACAGAATACTGAGAGGAATTGACAAGGTGGACAAAGACAGGATGTTCCAGAGACTGGACACAGTAACAAGGGGACACAGTTGGAAGTTGAAGACACAGATGCATCACAGGGATGTTAGGAAGTATTTCTTCAGCCACAGAGTAGTCAGTAAGTGGAATAGTTTGGGAAGCGATGTAGTGGAGGCAGGATCCATACATAGCTTTAAGCAGAGGTATGATAAAGCTCACGGCTCAGGGAGAGTGACCTAGTAGCAATCAGTGAAGAGGCGGGGCCAGGAGCTTGAACTCGACCCCTGCAACCTCAACTAGGTGAGTACAACTAGGTGAGTACACACACACAACACACACACACACACACACACACTAGTGCAACATCTCAACAGTGTTCTCAAACAAGCACTTAAGCTTTATAGTTCATGTCTTCTCCAGTGTTAAGGAGTGTTAAGCACTTTTTGATGTGCAGTTTCATTCACTTCTTACATCCCCACCCCCCACACACACTTTTACATATTTATGAAAACACTAAATCATAAAGTTTATCATTTTCATATGCAATATCTGCTTGGCTGGCCTACTCAAAATTATGGTAGGTAGGTAAAATTCTCAACACTATTAAATTACAGTTTCACAGTAAAATTACTGTAATCGTTTTGTCTAATGACCTAGTGAATTAAGATCTAAACAGGAGTTGCTATATTTTGTTTACTATATTGTAAGTTTTCTTTGGACAAAATGCTACTTTTCTGTTGGAATTCCAGTGATATTTATTTCTTAGTAATATTAATTTCAAAATCAAGTACAGTATTTGACTATAGAGAGCCAGCATAAAGTATTTAGCTTGAGCAGAAACATTTGTATACCTGGAGAGGGTTTTGGGGGTCAATGCCCCCACAGTCTGGTCTGTAACCAGGCCATCAAGACAAATAAAATTTTTTGCTCTGTCAGATGAATACTGGACTGGTTTATGAAATACTGCATATCAATTTTTTGAGTTGGCATTAATTTTTTCAAAACAAATACAACAACTCAGATTTCCTTATTAGGCAATGTCTGCTGAGTTATTGCTTATTTTTTCATAATAGATACTAATACCTTAATTCTCAAATGTTAAACTTGGCTCTCATATTAACAATGTACGAACAAGACTAAGCTTTGGTTTGTGAAGGGAAAATATAGACAAATGCAATTGATTATATTAACCTAAGAACAGATGTTTTAGTGCTGGCTATGAAGTGTGCATCGTGCTTTGCCTTGAGCAGTGCTGGCATAATCCACTTCCCTCGTTTGGAGGGAAAAAAAACCTAGTCTGTCCTTACATACTGACTCTGCCTTCTGATAGGGGCACCAGACATTATTTTTTTTTCTATAAGGTGGATATTTTATAGTTTTTGTGGAAAGCTGACCACTGATTTTAGGGTGTAAGAAATTTTTCATTTGGAAAAGCTTATTTACACTGATTTGATCAGTAAATTCACCCCAGACACCAGGAACTAGGATTCCAAATAGTTTACTCTGTACTGACCCATAACTGCACATGACAACCTACTACACAGTTTACATAAAAATCACACTAGTATCTATTTAATTTACATTTTTTCTTTTTCAAATACCATCGAGATTAAATCTCTCCAATATTCTAAACATTTGCAGTGCCGTGGCATTTGCAAAGAGCTTAAAACCCTTGTATTTATGGAAATAGTGTTTATGTATGTTAGGAAACTAAGTGGGGGTGCATTATGTTTGCAAATCTCTACTGGCAAAATTTACATAATGGAATGAATGCCTTATTACTTTCACTAAGATTTGTAAACCAAAGGTAATTGCTATTTTATTCACTCACCTTGACTTTAATATTTTCTTGTTGGCACTTGCGAAGGACAGCCAAGGGTCCAACCATTTCCTCCATGCGGGTGATTACATTCCGAAGGCGTCTCCGACCACGGCCTTTTATGAGTCCTGAAAAAATAAATATTTCCTGCCTTCACAATTACAATTCTGATCAATGTAATATTGTATAAAAACACTTCATTAATTTCCAGGGATAGAATTTATAACACTTCACACATACTGTATAATGCTTACAATAGGAAAGAACAATCACACTTACACAAATTAATTTTTACTTGTATAACATTTAAATTCAACTCTAGTTTTACACCATTATTTTTAGCATATCTTATATTTAGTATTTATTTTTTTTTGTTTATTTTTGACATAAGAATGGTACAGTACATAGCCTACTAAAAGATTCAAATTAAGCCAAGTCTTGTTGTATTTTCCATGTCAGTACACTAATACCCTGAATATTTTTTTTTTCCAGGTAAGGGAGTGCAGGACTTATGAGAAAAGCTTCAGGTATAGTGAATGAATATTTTATCAGATTGTTATCAGAAGTTATTTAATCTATACATTAAAATCCCTTGTGGCTTAGCGCTTCTTTTTGATTATAATAATAATATACATTAAAATACAGTAATAATTTTTATATAACTATAATCATATAATGCAAAGAACTTAATATCTGCTTACATATTCATAACAGGTATATATACTGTATATACAGTGCTGTATACTGTAATGCAATTGATAGAGAATTCTATACAAAATTATAAAAAAATTGTATTCTGATACACTATGAAGGAAGTTTTCAAGGTAATGTACTAATTCAAGCCATGACCTATGTCACAATTACCTTGCTCTGGTGCAAAATTCCTCTCAACTGGAACCTTCCGTGCACATTTCTTGGGAATGCCTCCTGGGCCCAACACCTGTCAGGGGTAGGCAAGGTTTCCATGGCTGTATAATGAGTATTCTCAATTTGTAGTTGGATGAAAATTACTCATATATGAAATATATGTGAAAGGGTGTAATATTAATCATGGAAACATAATGCACTGTATCGGCAAGGCAAAAAAAAAAAAGCACATGGGTACTATATAAATAGATCGATAGGAATATATGGTGTGGCTGTCTCAACTAAGTGAAACTGTGGTATATAACATCCAGCAACTAGTGATAATACACCTCAGGAAAACAAGAAAAATTAATTTATAGAGGTACATATATACTTGAAACTTTGTTCACATGTAGTGAATTTTCACAAGCAAATCTAAGAAATCAAAGATATGCTTATATATAATATATAGTTAGGAGGAATGTAGTGCATCAGGTGGAGGTGAAGTGGCCAGTAGGCCTACTGTATTTCTCAGCTACCTTGGAATGTTGAGCACTGCAGTAGGCCTACCTGCCCTTCCACATTTGCACCAGTCATTTTTCCATCTTCACCTGATGTACTACCTTCCACCAAATATAGTATGCTATACAAGTTTGCCTTTGATTTCCAAGACTCGCTTCACTTTTTGTTACTTTCTCGCAGTTCAAAAAATAAGGGTGCATGTCCACACACACACCAAAATGGTTATATACACTTATGCCGAGGCTCGTCTTCACAAGCTCAACTGAAGAAGAAATAGTACAATTATATTTTCACAGTGATGCAGAATTAGTGCAGGACATGTGTTACAGTTTGTTAGATAAACCCATTACTGTATTATGTGCATTATATTTGTGTGCCAAGCACTAAACCCACAGGAGTCATACAGCACAATAAGGCTCAATAAAAGGAATGGGAGGATAGATTTAATTTCTTGGATCAAGAACCTCTCATTGGCATCAAGGGACCTTCCATGAGGGGAATACAGTCAAGTATGGCAAAGAAACATTCAGTACTGTATGACAAAGCTTTTTACATACTGTACATTATCATAGTTATTTGAGTAAAAATTTTGTAATGTAAATCAAATAGATCAAAATACACGATTTGTTCCATCTTAATTATCTCATCTATGGGTACTGTAGTAGATATACAAATTGAATTTGCAATGTCCTGTAGCTCGATCGCTAGCGCACTCGGCTCACACACTGAGGTCCGGGGTTCGAATCTCCTCTGGTACAACTGGAAAACATTAGGGACGTGTTTCCATAAGACACCTGCTGTCCCTGTCCCTGTTCACCCATCAGTTTAAAATGGGTACCTGGGTGTTAGTTGACTGGTGTGGGTCGCATCCTGGAACAAAACTGACCTAATTTGCCTGAAATGCTCAGCATAAAAGGGACTTTATGTATAGTAGTACATATGTCATTGATGTCAGCTAGGCCTATATATCATGTACATGTAGTAAATAAAGACTATTATTATTATTATTAATATTATTATTATTATAGTATGCAATATAAAAAATTATTTAATTTGAAAATATTTATTATTATTAAATCAAAATGAAGCACTAAACCTACAAGGGTCATACAGTGCTGTGAAAATAACAGAATGGCAGACTCACTAAAAAAAAAGTTACAGAAATGAGAAGAAAAAATGGAATAATGAAAGAATATATAAGAGAGGTTGAGTGGCAAGCGGTAAAAGTCAGAACAATGAGTAAGATTTAACAGGCTTGGAGGCCTGATGGGCACACTTTTGTCTAAAATATCTCTTTTGTAAGTATGTATGGTTTTTGAGGGATACCTTTATTGAAAATGATACACAGATTATCAGAAAATTAACACACATGCAGTTTTATGTATACATGAAATACATTAGTTTTTCAGATTTAAAAACAACTTTCAGTAAAATACCGAGGACAGAGTTGACTCCAAACTTTCACTTTTTTAATCAGATTATTAAAATAAAAAGTTAATTAAGTTTTGACCAGATTCATTACTGATTCTTACAACTGCTGTATTTAGTAACATTATCAAGTAACCTAGGATAACCTAATAAAATAAAATCCTTTTTAACTAGTGCTAAAGAAAACATAATACTGTAAGGCAAGATAGACTTCAATCAGGTTAACAACACACTTTAAAATATTGGTATTGGTGGTATCGCCTAAATTTGGTGATATTGGCCTGAACATCAGTATCGACAAAAATCCTGGTTTCGTCCCATCCCTAGAGTTTAGTGTTATATATTTACACAATGGTTCCAATAAGCTCATTACTTGAGTTAAGGTGACTGACTTCCATTTTAAAACATGAGATACACGACTGATTTATTGAATAATTATTATTCAGGGGAAGCACAAAACACTGAGGAGTAATGCAGTGCCTATCAAATAGGGAAAAAATCAGACTTGATCCCACGAGGGGATGGGGGAGAGTGGATAGCTCTTAATTTTTGGTCAAGGGCCCTTCATGAACATCAAGACACCTACATCACTTGAAGGAACCACCTATCACCTAATGCATATATCCTACCTATCACCTAATTAATATATCCTATCACCTGCCCATAATGCTCTGCATACAAGGAGCTTTTGGCATGTACAGTATACCTAATCACTATATTTCTTTGTACAACTATGTATCATGTCCAAATAAAAATTAAATAAATGTATCCTATCACCTAATTAATATATCCTACCTGCTACCTAATTAATATATCCTACCTAACTGCCACCTAATTACTGTATCCTACCTAACTGCCACTTAATTAATATATCCTACCTAACTGCCATCTAATTACTATATCCTACCTAACTGCCACTTAATTACTATATCCTACCTAACTGCCACTTAATTAATATATCCTACCTAACTGCCACTTAATATATCCTACCTAACTGCCACTTAATATATGCTACCTAACTGCCACTTAATTAATATATGCTACCTAACTGCCACTTAATTAATATATCCTACCTAACTGCCACTTAATATATCCTACCTAACTGCCACTTAATATATGCTACCTACCTGCCACTTAATTAATATATGCTACCTAACTGCCACTTAATTAATATATGCTACCTAACTGCCACTTAATTACTATATCCTACCTAACTGCCACTTAATATATGCTAACTGCCACTTAATTACTATATCCTACCTAACTGCCACTTAATTAATATAGCCTACCTAACTGCCACTTAATTAATATATCCTACCTAACTGCCACTTAATTAATATATGCTACCTAACTGCCACTTAATTAATATATGCTACATAACTGCCACTTAATTAATATATGCTACATAACTGCCACTTAATATATGCTACCTAACTGCCACTTAATTAATATATGCTACCTAACTGCCACTTAATTAATATATGCTACCTAACTGCCACTTAATATATGCTACCTAACTGCCACTTAATATATGCTACCTAACTGCCACTTAATATATGCTACCTAACTGCCACTTAATATATGCTACCTAACTGCCACTTAATTAATATATGCTACCTAACTGCCACTTAATATATGCTACCTAACTGCCACTTAATATATGCTACCTACCTGCCACTTAATTAATATATCCTACCTAACTGCCACTTAATTAATAAGATTTAATATGTCTGCCCGAAATGCCTAGCCATGCTAGGTGTTCTAGTGGTACACTGTAATTATTATTTTACTACATGTAAACCACACAATAACCAAATTCTGTAAACTCAGCATTGTAATACTTATAGAGAATAAAGTTTAAATTTGAATGATAACACGGTGCGTCGTTGCCTCTCGTCCCTCCCGCTGACCCACCACAACTTACGCCCGGTATATCTCGCACTACGTTAAAGTTGTGGCTGTGAACAGCTTTTCTCAGGCTCTCCAGGTCCTCATACTCCTGGGCATCGGGCACTGGCAGCTGCACGTCGCCAGAAGAAAGAGCCTTTGCGGCATTAAAGCTCTTGGAGTGAAAATCGAGCTCTTCTCCCTCCCCGGCCATGTTTACACTGCAGTGGCGCTGCTCTGGTGGCTGCTCCTGGTACCACCTGGCGCCACCTTCAAACTTCTCTTGACTCGTGTACTCACCTTAGTTTACCTGGAGAGGGTTTCGGGGGTCAAAGCCCCCGCGGCCCGATCTGAGACCATGTCTCATGGTGGATCAAGGTCTGATCAACCAACCTGTTACTGCTGGCCGGTTATAGGAGTCAAATTACAGCTCTGTGTGTATATGTGTGTATATCTGTATGTATGTATAAGGCCAGGTCTTGGACCGGGCCACGGGGGCGTTGACCCGCGGAACACCTTCCAGGTATGTATATGTGTATGTATATATGTATGTGTCTGTACGTACCTGTTTGTCCTCTCTCTCCATATAACATAAAAAGATAGCACTTTGTCAGCTTAATAACACCTGTCTTCCTAGAGATGTTCTTAAGTTCACAATGTCTGCTACAGTATAAGTAGTGTTGTCAGTATTCAGAGTTTCTGGTACATTATGTACTCTCAATTACAAGACACTGCAGTGGAATACAGCCTCGCCTGTCATAAGATAACTAATAAAGTCAACGAGTACAAATGTGGTCTGTGAGACTAGTATCAAACTCTGAAACTATATGATAAGATAACGTTAGGTTGGTTTATTGGGTTTGAAGCCTATCGAATACAAGTGTGGATAGTGTTTTTTTCACATCGATTTTACCGGCTAAGAGTTATCTTAGCTCAGCTCATTTCAAGGCTCCAGGGTACCACCCACAACAGTCGACTAACACCCAGGTACCTTCTTACTGCTGGGTGAACAGGAACAACAGGTGTAAGGAAACATGACTAGTGTTTCCACCCGTGCTGGGGATCGAACCACGTACACTCAGTATGTGAGTTTTGATTTGGTTTTCCAGGTTTGACGACTATCGACTACACCATGGTAATCAAGGCTACATGTTACATATACACCCTCAGTTAAGGATACTTTAATCCTAAAAAATGAAGAATAAATGCAAACTCCCAACATATATACCCTGAGATACACTCCCTCGGTGTATATACCCTGAGATACACTCCCTCGGTGTATATACTGAGATACACTCCCTCGGTGTATATACCCTGAGATACACTCCCTCGGTGTATATACTGAGATACACTCCCTCGGTGTGTATACCCTGAGATACACTCCCTCGGTGTATATACCCTGAGATACAATCCCCTCAGTTTATTTACACTGTTGAGACATTTTATTTTGTGAAATCTTCAAATGGTTGAGAGTGGCGGGTGACCACCTGGAGAAGACCTGAGCCGGGACAAGACAGGCGAAGCTGCAAGAAGAAATCATTTACAAATAGTAGTATAAATTCGCACTGTATTTGAGGGTTCACACACACACACACACACACACACACACACACACACACACACACACACACACACACACACACACACACACACACACACACACACACACAGCCAGGAGCTGTGACTAGACTCTTGCAACCACAAAAAGGTAAACACACTGTATGCAGTGTATACTCACCTAGTTGAGGTTGCGGGGGTCGAGTCCGAGCTCCTGGCCCCGCCTCTTCACTGATCGCTACTAGGTCACTCTCCCTGAGCCGTGAGCTTTATCATACCTCTGCTTAAAGCTATGTATGGATCCTGCCTCCACTACATCGCTTCCCAAACTATTCCACTTACTGACTACTCTGTGGCTGAAGAAATACTTCCTAACATCCCTGTGATTCATCTGTGTCTTCAGCTTCCAACTGTGTCCCCTTGTTACTGTGTCCAATCTCTGGAACATCCTGTCTTTGTCCACCTTGTCAATTCCTCTCAGTATTTTGTATGTCGTTATCATGTCCCCCCTATCTGTGTGTGTGTGTGTGTGTGTGTGTGTGTGTGTGTGTGTGTGTGTGTGTAAATGGTGATGTATCTACAAAGAGTGAATGTAAGATGACAGTAGCATACTTCTGTTGCGTGCTGCATGCACCTAGTATGTAGGTATTTATTCGGCCGCGCAAGACTAACCACATTACTGGAGTCATCTTTGCCAGCTGTAAGCATGGTAACTCCAGAGCGTCTGCTGACTGTTGGATGTGCTGGGGCATTGTAGCTTATTAGGGGAAAGTTGATGGGATAGTTCGATAACTTGGTTTGCACACACAATATATACATAATGATTTGTATGTCTCTCTCTCTCTCTCTCTCTCTCTCTCTCTCTCTCTCTCTCTCTCTCTCTCTCTCTATATATATATATATATATATATATATATATATATATATATATAATATTGTGTGTGTGTGTGTGTGGGGTGTGTGTGTGTGTGTGTACTTACGTAATTGTACTCATCTAATTGTGGTTGCAGGGATCGAGTCATAGCTCCTGGTCGCTATTAGATCCACTCTCTCCCTGCTGCATGAGCTTTATCATGCCTCTTCTTAAAGTTGTGTATAGATCCTGCCTCCGCTACATCACTCTCCAGATTGTTTCACTTCCTGACAACTCTATGGCTGAAGAAATAGTTCCTAACATCCCTGTAACTCATTGAGTTTTGAGCTTCTAGTTGTGACCTCTTGTTGTGTCCCATCTCTAAAACATCCTGTTCCTATCCACCTTGTGTGTGTGTGTGTGTGTGTGTGTGTGTGTGTGTGTGTGTGTGCGTGCGTGCGTGCTGCGTGCGTGTGTGTGTGTGTGTGTGTGTGTGTGTGTGTGTGTGTGTGTGTGTGTGTGTGTGTGTTAGTTACCATTTTGTCCTAGTGTGTGTGTGTGTGTATTTGTGTCTAATACGTAGTTAAGAGATTAAAGTATTCTTGACTGATCGTGAAAAGGTAATATGAAGCTTTAATGGTGATCGTGTGGGTGATAGGCTTTAAGCTGAATTGATCAACCAACTTGGTTTGTGGTGATGGTTGTAGCTAACACTACCAGTCCATCAGCCGGCATATATACCATTGCCACCCATTGCTTTTCTGATATTTTGTGTTCACTGTTTATTTTTTTAAGTTGGTTTGTGTTGAAATCCTTGTACAGTTGTAAATATTGTACATGGTGGTTTTGTGGATTTTGTAACTAAAAGTTCTATTCATTCTGTGCTCTGAACGACTAATGTGGCTCTACTACCTTCTGAAATTCCTTTAATCTAATATAAACCTAGACGTGAGTGAGCAGCTCTGTGCTGAACTAAGCTATAGCTGAAACATCCATTGCTTAATTAGCTTATTCTAGGAACAGGTCGGTTAGTACACTGTACACTTATCTAGTGCTGCTGTAACAATCTATCAGTACAAGTGTAACATCATCTGTAACATACTGTGTTAGTGAAATGTAACACTATATTCCATACTTGCAACATGTATCAGTACACTGTAACACTGTTCTCAGTAACTACTGTAACATGTATCAGTACTACAGTTAACAATGTATGCTAGTAACTACTGTAACATGTCAGTAACTACTGTAACATTTAATCCAGTAACTATGTAACATTGTATCCAGTCTACTGTAACACTGTTAGAACTACTGTAACACTTTGTATGCAGCAACTACAGTAACACTGTATGCAGTAACTACTGTAACACTGTATCCATTAACTAATGTAACACTGTATGCAGTAACTACTGTAACACTGTATCCAGTTACTGTAACACTGTATCCAGTAACTACTGTAACATTGTATCCAGTAACTACTGTAACACTGTATGCAGTAACTACTGTTACACTGTATCAAGTAACTACTGTAACATTGTATGCAGTAACTACTGTAACATTGTATCCAGTAACTACTGTAACACTGTATTCAGTAACTACTGCAACACTGTATCCAGTTACTGTAACACTGTATGCAGTAACTACTGTAACACTGTATGCAGTAACTACTGTAACACTGTATGCAATAACTACTGTAACACTGTATCCAGTAACTACTGTAACACTGTATCCAGTAACTACTGTAACACTGTATGCAGTAACTACTGTAAACTGTTCAGTAACTACTGTAACACTGTATCAGTAACTACTGTAACACTGTATGCAGTAACTACTGTAACACTGTATCCAGTAACTACTGTAACACTGTATCCAGTAACTACTGTAACACTGTATCCAGTAACTTAACTGTAACACTGTATGCAGTAACTACTGTAACACTGTATCAGTAACTACTGTAACACTGTATCCAGTAACTACTGTAACACTGTATGCAGTAACTACTGTAACACTGTATGCAGTAACTACTGTAAACACTGTATGCAGTAACTACTGTAACACTGTACTCCATATCTAACTACTGTAACACTGTATCCAGTAACTACTGTAACACTGTATGCAGTAACTACTGTAACACTGTATGCAGTAACTACTGTAACACTGTATGCAGTAACTACTGTAACACTGTATGCAGTAACTACTGTAACACTGTATGCAGTAACTACTGTAACACTGTATCAGTAACTACTGTAACACTGTATGCAGTAACTACTGTAACATGTATCAGTAACTACTGTAACACTGTATGCAGTAACTACTGTAACACTGTATCCAGTAACTACTGTAACACTGTATGCAGTAACTACTGTAACACTGTATGCAGTAACTACTGTAACACTGTATGCAGTAACTACTGTAACACTGTATGCAGTAACTACTGTAACACTGTATGCAGTAACTACTGTAACACTGTATCAGTAACTACTGTAACACTGTATGCAGTAACTACTGTAACACTGTATCGCAGTGAACTACTGTAACACTGTATGCAGTAACTACTGTAACACTGTATCTAGTAACTACTGTAACACTGTATGCAGTAACTACTGTAACACTGTATGCAGTAACTACTGTAACACTGTATCCAGTAACTACTGTAACACTGTATGCAGTAACTACTGTAACACTGTATCTAGTAACTACTGTAACACTGTATGCAGTGACTACTGTAACACTGTATGCAGTAACTACTGTAACATTGTATCTAGTAACTACTGTAACACTGTATGCAGTAACTACTGTAACACTGTATGCAGTAACTACTGTAACAC